TCTATAGTCGTATACAAAAAATGGGTCAATTATTTTTTGTTTTCCAGACCCTRACACATTCTTTTATTTAAACACAATATTTTACATACTTACACTGCAAAAACTGTCCACCTAACCATGTTTTAAAATCTTATATCCAGCCAAAAAGTCTTTTTGATCTTGTTTTGAGACTGATTTACTAAACAAGACCTGATTTTGTAAGAATAATAGGGCTGTGTATTTGCAAGAATTTGGCGATATGATACATATCATAACAGAGAGGTTACGATACGATATATCCCGACATATTGCGATACTGTAAGCAAGGCAATATATTGTGATATATTGCATTTTTTTGTCCAAAAATTCTGTTAAATAAAAACCTCTTATTGAAAAAAAAAGAAAAGGAAAAGCTAATGTTCACTTACAATGCTAATGCTACCCTTACTCTCTGGTGCTCAAGAGGTAGATGAGCCAAATGGCTGGCTCACTGCTGCAACTAGTGGTCAGAGGCTGAACATAAACATGAACGGTTGGCAAGAAGGGTGACATTTTAAACCTTAATTAAAAATCGATACAGGGCTTTAGAATATCGATACAGTATCGGGAAATGAAATATTGCGATATTTCAGTGTATCGATATTTTCTTACACCCCTAAAGAATAATAATCTTGTTTTCAGAATATGTAAGATTATTTGTCTTGTTAGTTTGAAAATTTGACTCAAAGTCAAAAATTTCTGCCAGTGGAGTAAAAAAAAAACCTTTGGTAAGATTCTTACAATACTTGATTTGACTCATTTTTTCTTGTTTCAAGAATTTTACCAAGTAAAATTTTCTTACTCCACTGGCAGAATTTTTTGACTTAATTTGAGTCAAATTTTCAGACTAACAAGACAAATAATCTTACACATTCTGAAAACAAGATTATTRTTCTTACACAATCAGTTCTTGTTTAGTAAATCAGTCTCAAAACAAGATCAAAAAGACTCTTTGGCTGATATAAGATTTTAAAACTTGTTAAGATGGACAGGTTTTGCAGTGTATTTATACATTTCTTTTTATTGTTGGACAAAGATGTATCTCTGATCAAAATATTCTACCTGTTTAACAGCCAACTGCTGGTTTTACTTTTTGCCTAAACTCTCAGTGCATCACGGGTCAAACTGGCAACCACAGCTCGGTCAGGTTCACACACGTTTTTATGTTTTGTGTTAAACATGCTGGATGAGGAGTATCTCATTTTAAAACATTCTCAGAACTATAGACTTGTTTTTTAGCGGTACAACTAAGTTCAGTGCACCTCTTTGAACTATGCAGAGCGCTGCTGCTTTTAAAACCCTGGTTTTGTTTGAATAGACCCTTGGATTAAGACTTATCCAAAGCACCGTATTGTGAAATGTGCCCTGATGCAATTCAGAGGATTGTGAGGTTTTAGTGGTTTGTAGCTTATACCTTTATTGTAGTCTAATGTTGTTCAGAAAGCTAAATGAAGACCTAAGCGCTCATGTAATTCACACTTTAATCAGACTGAGCAAATGGGACAGTGGAAGCCTCGGTGCAAAATGCAGCATGAGGAAATTAGCTGTGCTGTCTCAGTGTTCACGGTACAGTATGTTGGACATGTTTTGTGAGGCTCAACACTATCAAACTCTTGCCTCATCTAATAAAAGAATAAATAAAAAAAACTTGACAAAAATGCATCCTGCAAGTACTGTTGGCAGGTTTTGCAGCAGGTTTGCAAACTGCCATGCTGCCTCCAAATAACTCTTTGTTCCTCTGAAAACCTGGCACCTTTCAAAGCCTCAGTAGCTTTAATGAGCCGCGGTGTTGTGCCAGTGGTGGCTGCTGGGTGTCAGGAATGGTGCTCATGATAATGTGCCCAGCTGAGTGCCTACTATATGTTTCCCCACTGTTATGGAAATGAAACCAGTTTGGGTGTTTTTCCACTTACAAAGGGCGACTACAGGCCTTTTCCTCCCCTTTCTTTTAAAAATCAACACTTCAGAGATTTTTTGACTTTTTATTTTTCCACAGAATTATCTGGAAAATATATAATGCTCTGTCATACTACACCCTCATGTCTCTTTCTAATGCAAATACAACTAAGCTGTTACTTTCCCTCTGCTGGTTATTCRTCCCTCTGTTGTCTCAGCTGCAGGGACTGTGAGGTCTGTCAAAGAGAGGTTGTTTGGGCRAAAAAAGCTGAATGAAAAGATGAAATGACATAAGAGGTCATTTGCTTGCCTCATATTTGGCCCCTAGGCTTTGAAGATGAAGGGACATAGAAGGAGGTAGAACATCAGTAGGTGACTAGGCTCCTTTGAGGGGCACGAACATTTTTTTACTGCTTCCTTCAGTACTTGAGGAAATGGCCCTTCTGTTACCAGCTTTCTGCTTCTCAAAGGTAATCAATTCAGCTTTAAAGACGAAGGAGACAGCCCTTTAGAAACTTCATCAATCTGAGTGTGTCTCTGCCAACAGCAAGCACAACATGTGCTTATTAATGCTTTGCTATTATGTGTAAATACCAAAGGTGGCATATACTGTATATGGCTTATTTGTTCAGTGCATACTCATGTTGTTCAAGAAGTGCAGGGTTTGACTAAACTTGTTGCTATTCATTGTAAAATAAATATTAAACAGTTTTTTATTTAAGTTATTAATTAATTGTTGCACTATTCTTAGCAAACAGCAAAATAATTTGCACTCTGGCATAGTTTTAAACTCGAGATTTCTTTGGTTTCATATTTATTGTTATCTGTGATTTTTCCTAGCTTTAATTAAAGGGGCAGTATCATGTAAAATCAACTTTTTTGAGTTTTAT